TTAAATATGTTTGAATTTTCTTGAATGTGCAATAGAAAATCATAAATAAATGAAAAATAAATGAGTACAACAGTGCATCACATTACCAAAAGTTAAATGATAACAGGACAATCCATTAGGAGGCTGGTGACAGGTGAGACAGCTGTGCAATGTGCTGTAAGTAACTGGCGCCACTTCAAAATGAGGCTGGATCGAGACAGGATGTGCTATTTGGCAAATGTGTGCTGTGTCAATTCCTCTGTCCTAAATCATATCCCTGCATCTCTTCCTGGCACTGTAAAAGGAGGAGCTCAGGAGCGAGGACAGGACTGTGATGAGAGGCAGCGAGGATTGATACATAAGGAACTGGAAAGAGCCCACGCAGAGCTTCAATTCATCTCCTTAAAGGAGAGCTCTGTTGTATTGTGGGAGAAAGGCCAATGAACGCTGCGGAGCTGCACCTCTGGAACGGCCAAACTCAGACAAAACCACAGCAATGAACACCCATTCTGCACATGGACATATACACTGGCTTATTATAGTCTGTTTTATTGTCTATAGTGTATATGTTTTATATTTTAGGATACAGTAATGTATTGTTTTCTTTGTTATCCATTTTCCTAAGGTTACTGTAAGAATGCAACTAATGATTATTTGAATTATCAATTAATCCGTCAATAATTTTTTGGATTAATTGATTAGTTGTTTGATGCATGAAATGTCAGAAAATGGTGCTAAATGTTTTTCTAAGCCCAAGCTGACGGCCTCAAAGCAGTAGTACGTCGCTTTTATATAAATAACTTTTCAGAATATTTGCTGAAACTTTGGCTATATCCTGACAGTAGAACATGGGACAGATAATCAGGTTCCTCTGGCTCCTCCTTGTGCTCCTAAGGGCATCTGCAAGAATCCAGCACATCAAAACCAAACGAAAGCAACCAATCAGAGCCGAGGATGTGAAATACCAACACTTCTGTGTCAGTGGCTTCGAGATAGATGTTTGTTGAGTCTCCCATACTGTTGGGATTTGATGACCTGGGAATGAGACTCAACGATAATTGGCTGTTTTCGTTCAGATGAAGGTGGATTCTTGCAAATGTCGTCAGGATGAACCAGAGGAACTTTTTGGGGGTCTGTACCAAACAAACATGTTCTTAAATTTGAGATCTGTAGACCAGGCCATCTCTGCAGCACTGCAGTACTTCATTAT